TCATCGCGTTCCCTGCAATAGAAACAGATCAAACCAATGGCTGCAGGATGCTGCAGGGGTTTCTTCGAAGAGGGATCGGAATCCTTAGATTGCCTGTTGCGTTTGACCAGGTAGGTGGACCGATACTTTGAGGGATTTTCCGACCTTCAACGTCCCTCAAAGCCAATTCATGGTGATCGTACCGTGAGGCTCAGTTGGAGGGTAGCGCCTATAGCTGGACCATCCATGGGACATGCCTATTTCGCATATGCGGTGGTTGACCTGTGGTCAATGTAGGCGCATGTCTCCCTTAACATGTTCCTTTCATCAAGCCCCTGGCCGTTCCACCCAAGACACAACCCATGGGGCTGGCATATTTACTGATCAGTTAGGGGGGCTTGACTTCAGGTGTTGTAGCCCAAGATATTTCAAGTACTTAGTTCGGTACTTAGACCCCCAAGTAAACTCACATAATCACTGACTCGGAAGATGGTCCTGGTTTTCCTCCACCCACCAGTGGTGGTGGTTCGGTGGGCTGGAGACGAAGAGCTGCGGACCTGTTTTCTACACTCCGAACATCACCTGTTTGTAGACGTTCAGGTACGAACGATGGTTAATGGACACCCCGTATCACCTCTTTTCGGGGCTATCAAGTTCGACGCCCGTGGTCCGGGTGTTCAGGTAGTAGATGGTTCACCTGTAGAAACACCTTACAGGTGTGTTCACTCTGCACTGTGAAACACTTCTCAGCTGTTTCATACTAACCATGGAAGTGGAAGACCACCTGCTGGTACAGGACCATGGTCTTCCAAGGGCCCCATTTTTTCATCCCATGCCATCCACTTCCATGTGATGTGTTTGTCGGAGTGTAGCTTAGATGACTGATTGGCAATTGTAGTGACTGCCGCGGACGGCTGAGCTTCATTTTGTTCAGTGCATGTTGCACACAGCCCAAAATCTCCAATGTCACCAACCGGCGACCCCTGCCTGCCGCTATACCCTCAGGTCCCTTGACCAGCAGCGCGCACGTCTTCCTCATCGCCAAGAAGAAACACCAGTGGCCTGAGGAGCACCGCATGTCACGAGCGTCCGCCGACCCAGCTGGGCCGGACTGGCCCCCTCGGTGATCCACCGAGGGAAACATCACACGATGAACGAAACGTGGAGAGCCGTGGTCGTGGTCTCTTCAAACGCCCAGTCTGCATAGGTTTGATGCAGAGCCACAGCTTCAACCAGAATCTTGAAGGTTTGACTTCGAGCGTGAAACACACGCGCGAGCGCCCCCGCCCGCACGGCGCGTAAATCGCCCCAGGTGTGTGGAATGTCTAGCACAAGCACTTGGAGATTGAGGTGACTAGCACTTGGCGCTCGGGGAGCGAGCAGCCCCAAATTTCACCATCTGAAACTGTCTGAAAACAGATCCTAGCTTGGCGCTGGAAGGACCTACCACAGACTTCCTTTCTGCGCTTTTATTCCTGCTCAGTGCAGGGAATTCGACTCAAATCGCTTCGGTTCTCTTTTGTCCAGTCAGCCTGCTTCTGTATGCAGCAGCAGTGCGGTGAGGGTGGGAAACCAAGATTTCCCCCGTCGCATGGAAGCGTGTGCATGCAGTAGATACACTGTCGACAGGGGTTGGTTCAGTTTTTCAAGTGAAACAGCGAACGTTTGAGATTGAACACTCGTGATAGCCCCTGCCCCTGCACGGTGAATGTACAGACTTTTCACGCCTGACGATTCCCAACGATCCCTGTGATGTGACTGCTGATCGAAGCCTTTTCCCGCATATTCTCTGCACATGGGTCGTCGCAATGTATCCAAATGATTTCAAACGTGGCCAGAAAGTAAGACCTGTAAGACCAGAAAGTAAGACCTGTAAGACCTGTAGGGGGCCACTAAGGGCATGTCAGAACTGTTGTCACATGTATGGATGATTCACCATTTTCGCTTCGACAGCATCCCTTCGTCTGCCTGCAGAGGCACCCGGCGTGGGTTTGTGGAATCTGAGGCAAGCCCAAAACCAGCAGGATCCATAAGACAAATCAGCTGCAACCAAGAACCTTGCTATCCTGGATCTTGCTGGAGGGAAGTAGCTTCTGTTTGAGGGGCTTTCGGACCATTCTCGGTCCGAAACTTGTAGAGGATCCTCGCTTGGCACAAGCAGATCAACCAAGAGGAGGAGAAGGAGAAGACCCGCTCTTCCGGGCTTTGCTTCCCTTGCTTCGGTCCTTTCGAAAAACCAGCGAACATCCGTGACCAGTTGGTTGCTGAAGCAGAGAGATGCCGTGCAAAAGCTGGTCGTTTTCATTCGCTTTCCCCCTACCTGGGTTCGGTGCCAGGAAGGCTACTGACTGGGCCATCGATGGCTGCATGACCCCGCGTGCATCAAGCGTTTAAGAAGCCAAAACAACACATCCCCCTCGCCAGTCCGGTATCCAAATCCGGGTCCCTGACCAGTTTCGTTCTTTTTCGACGCGTTGATTGGCATGCTCTCGTCTCGTCTCAGAGGGTTCCCAAGCAGGGGGAGCTCAGCTGCGGGGCTCCACAAAGTTTGGCGTATGGCTCGAAAAGCGTACTCCCACAAGATCCCAAGTTGTGGACTGAGTCCAGCCATTGATGGAGTTTGGGCACCCAGTCATTCTTGAGCCATAAGCCATGAATTATGGGCATTCCAGACAATCTGGAATCACCTTCAGATGCACGGCACATCTCCCAAAAATGCATCAGACCCGTCCTCGGCGTTCTAGAGGCGCCTTCGGATCGCGGCCTTCGGCCGTGGACTTGCGTGCGGTCTTGCGTGCGGCCGTGGGGTGGTCGGGACCGATTGGTGGGGAGTTTCTGGATGTGAAGAGTCTGTGTTGAGAATTTCTGGTCCCTAGGGATCCAGTCGTACCGAACCTCAGGTACGGTGATTGGAGCCAGAGTTATGTAGGTGCCAGGAGGGTCCAGTCGTACCTTCTCAGAAGGTACGACTGGATCCCTAGGGTGTGGGTCCGTTTATAGATCTTCCAATAGTTAACGACCATGTGTTTCCGTCGTTGCAATTCCATTGCATTTGGTATTCCTGGAATTATTCCTGTAAGGGCATCATCGTCTTCAGGGGCAGAGTGACGCAGACTCATCTGGGGAGGGATCCCAAGATCAATTGACCTTGAACCCTGAGTGAGCTCTATTGTGGATCATCAACCAGGCCCCAAATGTGGTTTTAATCATGTTTTCTCCGATCAAAACAGAGGTCATGTCTGGGCTCTATAGGTACACAACCTCCCGGCCCCGGGGGTGTTTTTTTCCAGGACATCCAACAGACCTCCCATGTTGGACCTCACGGCTTGCGCCGTGTGACACTCACAGTGGTGGGAGAGAGCATCAAGCACCATTTCCAGGACACCCGGACCAGGGGTGTCGAACTTGATAGCCCCGAAAAGAGGTGATTCGGGATGTCCATTAACCACCCCGACTGTGGGTCCTAGTCCAGTTCGGATGAATCCATCTTCACCCGAGAAGACTCTTTTCAGAACCGGAGGGCCCCACGGTTCGTCCCTTCGGCAAAGAGGTGGAAAGCCACCGGACCTGAACAAACTCAGCACCAAGTTTCGGAAGAAACTCCCGGACCTTCTCAGTTGGTCCGGCGTTCGGAGGCCGTTTTCGATGTCGGCTCGGCCCATCACCCCGGCCCACCCAAGAGGAGACGGGGTCCCTTCCTCCCATCCTTTGTCTTGGGCAAGCGTTCAGGGCGTCTGTCCAGGTTGTCCCCCACTTCGACCGCCTCCGGAGACGTCTCCGAAATCAGGTTTTGCAGTATCTGCGGAGCGACGCGGAACGCTGGGAGGTGGGAAAGAGTAGGTGGAACCGGAACGACCTAACGGGTCGAAGAGGACCTTGGGGTCGAGTTCGGGGCGAGGGGGCGAGGAGGTCGATCTCTGACTAGAACAGAATTCACAGGGCGATCTCCATGAAGGCGTTTTTTGCATGGGTTTTCCAAGCCACAATGGGGAGGTGGTGCATTAAGCCCCTCCGTTTCGGTGTTTCTTTTTTTTCTTCAGTGGGCTTCCTGGGGGTCTAAGTGCCGGAACTAAGCACCTGGAGCATCTTGGGCAAATCAAGCGCCTGAAATCAAGCACTGATCAGTACATCTCTGCCAGTCCCACAGGTGGAACGGCCGCTTGATGAGAACATGTTTCAGGGAGACCTGCAAGCCAAATACATGCACAAAAGCGCTGTCTCAGACCACCAGTTTCACCAGTTTCACGTGCTTGGCCGAACGAACGGAAAACAAGGGGTTACCATCTACTCACTCAAAGGACTTAAAAGCCTACCAGCACCCTCCAACAGGTCACCAATTGAGACCTGTTAGGGTCCAACAACCCTCAACTAACAGCCTGGCCAGGAGGATGCTGGTATAGTTCCCTGCTGCTTTAACCGAACTCATTGGCAAGTCCTTCGCACCTGGCGCCACAGCACCCCCCCGGACCCGGCCGTGGACTGAACTGAACGTCCAGGCGGGGCCTGAGCCGTGGCCTTCGAGTGGCCACCTGGCTATGTGAAAGCGCGCGACTTGAAGCGCGGGCAGTTCGAGGTGAGCGACGAGATGATGAGATAGAAATAGATACAACATGATATTATTGTGCGACTCATATGTTTTTTGCTGAGGTTTCTTTTATAGCAGGGCCCCCTAAGGCGAGGGGTGTCTTAGAGGTTAAGGGGTATCCATTAACCGCCCTGGTATAGGATCTTTTTTGGGGGTATCTTATGCAGGATCCTTTTTAGGTATCTTATATAGGATTCATTTTTTGGTGTATCTCATCATTAGCTTAGCTTGCTTTTCCGAAGTGGGGTGCATCCAATTCGGAATGTGTTCATTTCCCGGTTCGGAGGCGCAAATCCAAGAATGATCCACAAAACGTGGAGTTGGGAAAGTGATGTTTTCAACGAGACCGGCCTTCCGCATGCCCTGCCGGCTTCCTGACCCACCATTCGTTTAAGAGCCGGAATCCCTATAACCACCATTTTTTTAAATGCAGCTAGGAAGGATTTTACAGAACCAGGTCATCCACTAAAGATGGTCGTCCAACGGAAGGCTTTGTACCTCCTGGCTCTTTACCTGTGGCGCAAAACCGCTGCACGCGCTACCTCAGCCAAGGCGTACGAAATGTCAGTCGAACGCCTTGCCAGAAGCTGTCGAGGACCCGGAAGACACAGTGGGGTTTCTCAGATGAAGAGGGAACGACATTTTGATTGACATTTCCCATCTCTGCCAGGTGTTATTTCGAGGGTTGGGAAGGGCCAAGAAGCAGGTGACCTGTTGGAGGGTGCTGGTGTTGTTATCTCACCTCGAGTAATACCTATAATTATATAGACCTATTAGGTCTTCGAAATTCTTCCAACTATGCAATATTTCCGCTTAACTTGACTGTCTTGATGGATGAAGAGGCAGAAATTGGGCACGTCCTTGGAAGATCCAGGTATTATATACTCTTCATCTTGAGGATGTTTCCAACCCCCCCAACCCCCTGGATTCAACACCTACGACCTCATACGACCCCTGGTTCGACACGATGCGGACCTTAGGTGCCGCGTGGCCTGGGAGATGTTCCGGGCCACGGCGCTGGGTGGATACACCTGGGTGGCGCACAACAGCGTCTACCAGGCGGAACGGTCGAACGGTCCACCGGGTCGGTCGACATCGGTCGGATTCGTGGGTCGGTCGACCCTGCCAGGTTCGGGTCCAGGTATACCGAACCTGAAGAGGTACGACTGGAGGTGTCGGAGTTTGGAGTTTGGTCCGGTTCTGGGGCGGACCAGCTAACTCCGAAGGTCCACTCCGCCCCACTCCTTCCTCGCGTTTCTGCCCACCGCGCGGCACACGCCGATTGGGCGCAGGGCAAGTGGGATCCCAAGTTGACCTGGGGCAAGCGCTATTGGAACTGCTGCTTCCACGAGGAGTTGAAGCGTCAGGAGATTCGCATCTCCGAGGCGAAGGGAGGGTGGGTAGGGTTGCGCGGGGTGCTGGTGTAGGACTGGGACTGGGTCGCGGATGCATCCAAGAGAGGGGGCAAGGTCTTGTTCTCTTTTTTGAGTGACCTGCAGTGAAGCTGCGGATTTCCATAACGAAAAGGCGGGACCACCAGTCTTACAAAGGACTATATATACTAAACGATGTCTCCCGCGAGCATGCTCAGACCCTGCAAAGTTTGAAACACGTCCGACTTGGCAAAGATGGTGTTTCAGATCAATTGGCCGAAAACCATGGTTCTTCAAAAACCGCAGTGTTTTCAGAACACCTCGTGTTTTGGCAACAACTTTTAGAACCCATAGAACACCCGCAGAAACACGGGTCAGATGGCTAAACACACCTGGTGTTTCGTCCTCCACGAACTTAAGGTCTTCCTTGGGGTATGAATGGTATGACGTTTTCAGAGGCTTTGGCTTCAAGGCTTCTCTAGGTCACTCTACTTTGACTCTTGAACCTGGTGCCCCCTCCAAATTCTTGACGCACGTCCCAGGAACCATCGTCTGTTAGCGGCATTCGTTCTTTTGAGTAGATGGCTTTGAACAAGTCTTCGGTGTTTCTTGCATTTCGTTAAAACGTTGGACGGTGAGACCAAGTGCGTCTTCCGTGTGCGAATTGAGGTGTCGGAGCTGGATATCTTCATGCTGGGGCCCCCCAGCTGTGTCGCAGCTGTCGAAGGGCGGGGAACAAGTCGATCCCGGCGAGACTGGGCGGGCGATGAACCCCATCAGTGCAGCGCCGAGCGGGACAACAGCTCGTGTAGTGGTGAGCTCGTATCGGGTGCGACTGGGCCACTGAAGCCCTGACCTGGCGGATTCCCAGGAGCATGGAGTGTTTGGGGTTGTTCGATCTGGGCCAAATCCATGGCAACATGTTCCTATCCTTTGGCAGTACTGGGTCATGGAATTCACTGAATTCACTCCGTTTTCCGGTTGACCACGTCTCGTAGCTGATTCATGCTTATTCTGTTCATGCTCAGTGGTCAAGCTTTCTGGGTCACCATGGGTGTCCTCCCACGCCTAGGTCAGGTCTCACTTGGGCACCTTGGACAGAAGGATGGAAAATCCAACGTGGGTGGGAGGCTATGTGTGGAAGAAATGAGATGGGATTAGGTTGGAGGCCCATTGCTAGTAGGTTGGAGGCCACTGCCGGGATTTTCTGGCTTTGACTCGGATTTTCAAGCGGCTAATCCTGGACTTCCTAGGTCTCTATAGTGGTAGGACGGTGGTCTTTTGTCCCTCTGACATCTTCTGTTCACATCCGAAAAAGCCCACGCGGCTGGCGGGAGGCATCCATGAGGTAAAACCACACACTCCGCCGGAACCCTCCCCCCCCCACCGCAAAAGATCCAGACCCATGCCGGTGATACCATTCGGCCCGAACACGTCCCGGTCACGCGTGTAACACCACGTCGCGTTGTGTGTGTCCTTTGGCGGCCACACACGGACACGTCGTTCGTGGGATGCGGGTCTAAGGATCCGACCTATTCCCTCATCCTGAGACGCTTAGCCTGAAGCCGCCACGACCTCGCGACCGCAGTCGCGCGTTTGGCGGTCCGGGCCGCGCCGGGACCGCCCCCGCGCCGCGCCGCGGTGAGGAGCGAAGAAAAAGGGTGGGTCGGTGCGTGGCGGCCGTGCCGCCGGGGCGGAGTTCGTCGTTCGTCTGGCCGTCTTCGGTTCCATTAAGTATCCCTAGGGCTCCAACCACCTCCTGAGAAGCTGGTTGGGGTGGGTGCCAGGGGGGTCTAACCACCTCCTGAGGATATGGTTGGAGCCCTAGGGTATGGGACCTTTTTGCCCGGCCTGGGTGGATCTCGGTGTTTCACCGTGATGCAGACACTTCATGGGACTGGCATATGGATTTTGCACCTTGGGGTGGTTGAGCCAGGGATAATGTGGGCATACCTGGATCGACATGCCGTCATGCCCAATGTCTGCCTTTTTAAGAACAAATAGCCAAAGCTAAGTAGCATGTCATGGCATGTCGTTGGAAGATCCAGATTCGAGTCTTCTGGAGTCTTTGGGTGATGAACACTTTCCAGACACTCCATGTATGCCATAAATACCTACATTGACCCCTCAAACCACCCCAATGTAGGCATATATGGCATACATGGAGTGTCTGGGCTTCCAGCTTTGAGGATCTGTGATTCTGTGACCCGTCTGATCCTAGCGAGGCTTCCTGGCCCCGCTGTTCATCGCCTGTCACACGCAAAGCACCGAGCGGTTTTTGGCGGTTTTTTTTGCACCTCCAAACCAGGTCAGCCCTGTCGAATGGTCGATGGCCGGAAGGCTATGCAGGTGATGTGGTTGGCGGCCGCCACCTTTGGTGACGAAGACTTCGCGTCGTTCTGAGGTGCTGGAGCATTTCCTTCAAGGTGTACTGGTTGATGATGGTGCTGCCCGGAAGCCTGATCTTTGCCTCGTCCAAGCCGGGACCCTCGCTAACTTGGATTTAACACCAGGTCATCTACAACCAGTGAACATCAGATATAATTGCCTTGGTTTGAAGTCCGCCAATCCTCACCAGCCCGCAGCCCTCACCTTCTGCAACCCGGTCTGTCCGCCTTCGATGATCTCAGTTCTGTTGAGCTTCCTTCTCTTTGACATTTTTATAACATTCTATGTATTCTCCTGGGTCAGGAAAGTCCACAGAGACCCTGTTGCCACAGACCCAGTTCAGCTAAACATCTAAAAAATATATAGATGTATTTGGATACCTCAGCACTCTAAACGTACTCTAAACCATTCGAAACCACTCGCAACAACAAAATCCATTCAACTCTTACTCGAAAGTTATCTAAATATCTATGCAAAATTGACATATGGAGATTCTTTGTTGATGTCCGTTGCAGCTCTTGAACTGGCTTGTGATTTGCACGGGCTTGACAAGCAACGTCTACAAGAGGCACATGTGGGACTGAGTTCATACCACTTTATATAACTCCTCTACGATCCTCTAAGTGCTCCACACAGTATCTTGTTGCATGTCATGTGGCTCAGTTTTTATCCATTTTCACTGTTGCTATATCATGCTAATATAACTACGCTTTATGCATTTGTTCCATTCCCTTTCTTCATCGGCAGCATACCGACCGTCACTTCCGGCCGCCAGCAGACGCCCAGCAGACACCCAGCTTCCGCATGCAGAACCGTTGGAGGAACCAAGCCGAGCCTGATGTCCGGAAGGCGCCCAACCCCTCCGGACATCGACCACTTCGGCCCGTTTACAGAAGTTCTGCAGAAGAGACTTTCGTTCGGCAAAATGGTCTACAGAGGATGCCATACATCAACCATACTTCCTGTTGATGTCTCAGTTTCAAAGGGAAAATGGTCTACAGAAAGACCATTCTTGAGAGAGACTGATCCTTCAGGGCCCTGTGGACATCTGGACGGATGTTTTTTTTTTGCAAAGACGCGTCCTTCGCGCGTGTGATGTCATCTGCCCCAGGACCGACTAGGACCATTGGCCTCAGAGTGTTAGCGTGACGTCGGTGAACATCTGAGCTGGTTCTGTGCGTCCTTGTTGACAAGAAACCAGCAATGTCCACTTCTCCGATGCATGCGCGCCATCTCGCTTTCCACATCTCATTGGTCGAGATGCGATGGTCCCCTGCATGTTGCCGAACTTGCCCATGCGCAAGTCTTCACCAAAATGAAAGTTCTTTTAGCGCAAAAACTGAAGGCGTACTCCCGCAGGCAAGATGCCGAGCCCATCACTGTTTCATATTTCAACTGTGTGAAGGTCAATGGGCAGAAGTTCAGTCAATGAGGCAGGCAATGAGTCAGGCTTCACGCTTGCACAGGCTGATTTCAGCCGTTCCTCGATCATGCCCAAGGCAACATTAAGCCACTGGAGGCGGCAAAAGTACTGCTCCTGGTGGAAGGACTCTGTCATGCCCAAACCCCAGGATTCCAACCATATAAGTTTCATAATAGCCTTTACCGAACCAACCATCGCCTTACTAAGGATTTTAAATACACTTGCAAACCATGTCACTCCCATGTTTTTAATGCTCCAAGGGAAGTCTAGTACTAGTATCAAAGCACAACAAGCTCATTGTGGTGACTACGGATGGTGAGGCCCCCTGACCATGTGCGCAGTGTCTGCTCCAACTGCTCCAAGGGCTGTACAAGCTCTCGTGGAGGTGTGCCGTCTCAGTGTCGCAGTAAACCTGTAACAGTCGGTAAAAGGTCCTATACTAGGACCCACAGTCGGGGTGGTTAATGGACACCAATAGACACCCCTGGTCCGGGTGTCCTGGTATAGGGCCTTATCATACCTTATCACTATTTTTGGACAAGGCACCATCATCCACTGTTGTCCACGGGTGTCTACGACACATTTGGTGGATCGAATAGCGAGCCTGGGCGAAGAGCGAGCCTTCTTTCCGAAAAGCCGGAGGAGCAGATGCAAAAAAGCCGTCAGGATGTTTCTAGTGGTATCCTCAGTATCCTCTGCAGGCGGAGCTACCCATGCCTTTGGACACTTGCCTCGTAAAAAAAACAAGTTGGACGTTCTTGGAACGCTGATGCTCCGCAGCTACCTGGCTGACGCTCCACATCTATTACAACGCTTCCTTTTTCCTTTCTTCCTCATCCCCCTGTCGTGCCGCGACCTGGGCACCGGGCCTCATCCTAACCCGTCGGCTTAAGATCCTTTCTTCCGGCGACCACGAGACACCTGCCCCGAACCGGCCCAGGTTTGATCATCTGCCACAGAGTTTTATACCAACCAGCTGCTTCCAAGGGGGTACCTGGCTGGACAACCCCACACTGCTTATAGGTCACCAGACAGGACACCCATTGGAAGCGCTAGGAAATGCGTATCTGTTGATCTCATGGAAACACAAGCACGGCTGATTGCGCGAAGCTGCTGTCAGACAAAAACACACACAAATCAAACAACATCAAACAACTACCAATTTGGCTAAGTTAGATTTAGCTAACTCCAAGCTAAATCAACACTAGATACTTACTGACTATTAATTACATACTAAACACCAATCTAAAGACAAAAAACAAAGTCAAGTTAGACCTAGCAGAGCTTGGCTCAGCTCAGCTTAGCCCAAGAAGTTTCCGGTTCACCTCTTGGAAGGGATTCGCTCTTGGAAGATTTCTTCGGAACGATGTCCAAGGCGAAGCCCGAGTCGCGCAGCGGGCGAGGCCGCCGTGGGGTTTGTGAGAAGAAGTCAGATGAAGTGGACTTCAAGGGGTGCCAAGTCGTCCGGACACAAGCAAATCAAATTGAGACTGAAAGTGAGACTGAATGAGTGGCCTCCATTTTGGGTGCTATCGATGGAGGGTGCCGGAGGTTAGGTGCTCAGCTACTCCACTCACTTTCTAGGGGACTAAACACCACCCCGTCGAGTTCACGTGACTCCTGGGACCTGGACCTTCTTAAGAGATGTCCTGTCTGGAGATTTCGGATAGGGCTGGGGCGAACCCATGAAAATGCTGGTAGTCATGAAGGATCATGAAGGTGCTGGTAATCTAATATTTTGATGATATATGAATATCAGGCGATGGAAGAAGTTTGGAAGGTACTTGGTTGATGGACCTCATAGGGCCTTTGCTCTTTACTCAGCATGTCCGACCCTCGCGGCGCCGACCGATCGGTCGCGTGTCGTCCTTCCGCACTCCTCGCAGGTGACGTGGAGAGGTCCGACCGGTCGGCGTCGTCGCCGTCTTCGGCCGTGGTTCGGTGGACTGAAGCCGAAGGTTCTGAGCCCGAAGGTTCTGAAGCAGTTTTTTCAAGGCAAAGCATCAACCAGGAGTCACAAAGGGGTGGTGTTTGGTCCCTAAGTGAGTGGATAATGGGCACCCCTAACCTCCATTAAGCACCCCTTTGTGACTGCTGGAACATGTTCACTGCTTGGCGGCTTCGATTTTTGACACAAGCATGAGAGTCAGTGAGATGTGTTGTGTTGCCATCCTTTTTTTAGAAGAAGTGCCGAAAATGTTCATTTCCGCTAGAGTTGAATTCAGATCATATCCATCAATATTCATCATATAGATGGTCATGCAGTTATATATAGTATATCATATCCAAACACTCCAATGTATGAAATATATGCCTATATTGACCCCAGGTCGACCACCCCAACTGATTGGGCAAATCTTCCAGTCCCATGTGATCGTGTTATACAGATATCCATTCGGCGATCCTATCTGCCGATCCCATCGCCGAATGCCTGTGACGCGCCAGGTACTTACAGGGCATCCTCGACTGCGACCTAACGCCCGCGCAGGCGGTGGGACAGATTGCGCCAGACCGCAGCTGGGCCACCTTCGAGGAGGCGGTTCAGCGGAGAGTGAAGGGATGAGCTTGCCGCGCCTTTCAGAGGTTTTCAGAAGGAGAAAGGAATTGGGCAAGGAAGCACACAAGGAGAGATGTGCTTTTAGCGTCCCAGTCATGCTGAGAATAGTCTTCAGGTACCTGAAGACTCCAACAGAAAGAAAGGAAAGAAAGGACGTTGGAAAGATGGTGTGAAGCATTTCTTCCTTGAATTGAT